GCCCCTTGGGTGGTGTACCAAACTCCAGCACAGTGCAAAGGTCAAGCCCACAGGTGGCATCGCCCAAGATCTTTCATTCCTGTGACCTCAAATTTTCTCACAAAAGCCACAAGTTTATGGGCAATGCTTATTGGGCAGCTTTTAGTAGACTGAAAGTCCTTGGGCAAGGACCTGTGGTCTCCCGTAGGTTAATAACAACACGAACCTGCCCAGCTCCATAGGGTTTATTGTCTAGCCACAAACTGCACTGTTTGTATAGTCTGGGTCCTTATAGTGGTTCTATGGCAAGTTCAAGGTCCTGAGGTTTATACAGAGCAAAAGTGCTCCTGTGTCACTATGCCACAGCCACCGGGCTCCCTCCAAAGGGTCTCAAGAACCACAGAATTACAGGATGGTTGAGGTTGGAAGAGACCTCCAGGGATCATCTAGTCCAACCCCCAAGCAGGGACACCCAGAGCATGGGGCAGCATCCAGGTGGGTTTTGAAGACCTCCAGAGAAGGAGACTCCACARCCTCCCTGGGCAGCCTGTGCCAGGGCTCTGTCACCCTAACAGGAAAGAAGTTCCTCCTCACCTGGAGATGGAACTGCCTGGGTTTCAACTTATACCCATTGCCCCTTGTCCTATCACTGGCCACCACTGAGAAGAACTTGGCCCCTTCCTCCCTACATTTTCCCCTCATATACTTATACATGTTAATCAGATCCCCTCTCAGCCTTCCCCTCTCTAGGCTAAACAGGCCCAGCTCACTCAGTCTCTCCTCATGCGAGAGATGCTCCAGTCCCTTATTCATCTTTGTTGTGCTCTGCTGGACCCTCTCGAGAAGCTCCACGTCTCTCTTATACTGGGGAGTCCAGAACTGCCCCCAGTACTCCAGGTGCAGCCTCACCAGAGCTGAGCAGAGGGGCAGGATCCCCTCCCTCGGCTGGTACCACGTCAGCAGTGACTGGATGCAGTTCTGAAGAGCCACGGACTGAGATGAAACAAATGCAGCTTCYCCATGAAGTGAAGCCAATGGAAAGAGCACAGCATGGCTGAAGACAGCCTTTACTTAGGGCTGAAGAACCAACCACAAGCAGCCAGTGAGTAGCACCTGGGTCTGTCTCCATCATGATTAACACATGACTGAGACCATCTGAACAAGGCTACGAGCCTTCATTAAACACATGTGAATGTATTTATGCATCCCTGCACTGTACGTCGGACGCATGGGAACATGCTTCACCACGACGCTTCCCAGGTCAACATCACAGCCCAAACAAGTTTAGAGAAGTAAACGGCAACTTCCTGCAATTGTCTGTTCCCACTCTAAAAATCTAAATCACCACCTAAATCTAAAGCACAACCTTAGTCATCTTTCCCCCAGGCTCTCTGACTAGCAAAGGGGAGGGGTGAAATTTCACCAGAAACAAAGAGGAAAAACATGTGTGAAATATAGATTAGTTTGTGCAGTCACTTTCTTGAAACAGCCTAAATCAAATTTTGAGAGCTAATGGGCAGGTTTCCCAAAGAAAACAGAGCCATTAAATCAGTCTTTTAATCAGTCATGGCAGTTGAAAACAAACATACGCTAAGCAAACACCGCACAAGATACATTCTCTTTTTCCAGCTAGGCTGAGATGGGCACCTGGAGGATAAACCAACCCTCAAGCCTAACTACTTCAGAAGGGTCAACCTCCCATACAACCTCTCTGTGCTAGTGTGGTTCCTGGGGTGTCATTGGAGCTGCCTCAAATGTTTACTAAGAATGGGATGATCTGACATAAATTGCCTGAATTAGATGCTGAATTAGCCAGYGGGGCACATCACCTGGGCAAGTTTGCCAAGAAAAAAGCTGGACCTCTCAAACGGCAAGCGGTTCCTAGTGATGAGCTAACCCTTGCAGCAGCCAAGGAGGCAGCACGGATGGTGGAGGGAATCCTTATCCCTGACTCCTGGGCATGGTGTTCTCCTCCAAAGCCATGGGAAGGCCCGTGCCAGCACTGCCACCGGGGGTGGCAGGTAGCAGCAGGAGAGCCAGGCTGTGGATACAGCTCCCAGGCACGTCAGGAGCCTGACACGGAACCCCCTCTAAAAGTCACTGTGTCTTGGGCCAGCACCACCAAACGTCAAAGGTGGCAGAAGATAACGATAGTGCTTGAAGGGAGYGAAAGAGCAGAGCTTTTTTCCCCAGATTTTTAACTGCAGGAGCTAAGCCTGTTCTCTAAMTTCCCACATTCACTGCGCTTCAATCATCCTCAGGTCTCGCCTTACACAGGAGGCTACAAATATATATTTCTAAAATAAAGGCAACCAGATAAGCAAACTGTCAGGGCAAGAAGAACAAGCACTTCGTGTTGGATCTTTGAAGTTGCAGCCACCACACCCAGCCTCTCCAAGAATGCACTTCCTGCATGTGTTTTGTTTTTCTGATAAAAATACAAAATGAGCAATAAATGTGGGAAATGTCCTCCTTTTTTCCATCCCCAGAAGCAAAATGCATTTCTTGTAAGTCTTAAATTGCCACCTTCCACAACTCCAGCCAAAGGAATAGTCCACAAAAAGCAACCCTTTCCTGAGGTTTGGCTTGCTTAGACAAACAAATCAGAAACATCCTGGGAACAAAGCTGCTCGAGTCTTAATATGTCTCCTTGGACCAAAGTCAGAGTTTCTTCTGTCTCCCTTCCAACCAGGCAGATAAATGATGCCCCTGCATCTGCGTCAGTAAAAGCCACTCAGCAGTTTCCTAGCACCAGAGGTTGTCAGATAAACACTATTAGCCTTCTAAATATTTAATGTCACTTGCCCTTCGGTAAGAAAGACTCATCTCTAATAACTAGTTATATCACGCCAGATACACTAGATATCTTTCCAATATCATAGGAAAGAAAAACAAGCTGGTTATACTTGGACTAGACATTTTCTTTGTGTGTGTGCAAAGTCACCAACCAAGCTCTTGTGACAACAAAATTAGGTCATAGGCAAATTGAATAGTTCCAAGCACTCCAGCCTCCCCTCAGGAGTTTCCTGGCTTGGAGCGCCAGGAGCAGCCCTTCAAGGCACACAGGGAGGTGCAGCACAAGTGTCACCAACGGAGCGCAGCGAGTTAAGGGCCTCTCACCCCTTACCCTGGCACCTCTCGCGYGCTTGAGCCTGGACCGGGTGTGCGCTCGGCCCATAGCACTTGACCCTTCATTGAGGGGCTCCACCCAAAAAAATAACCCCCAGGAGCACTGCCAGGCACTCGAGTGAGCGCCATCTCATCAGCAATCCCTTCTTCTGGGTTATCACCTTTTATAAGAAAGGGGAAATGGAGTGGAAATGCTGTTATCAGACTCTTTCCTCCCTATCATGCTCCTTCCCCCTTCAGCACAATCTGGGCCCAAGGAGTTGTTCACATAAATAGGTACTGCTTCATCATTACATATCCCAACTAGAAATTTGACCTGGTTTTCCAGTCCCTTGCAGTATTTCATATTCTTTCATCTGCTAAACTATTTATGGCCCCCTCAGCAGAAAAAGCTATTTCGGAGACTTCCAGGAACCAGCTTCTGCAAAGCCCAGGAGCGGACGAGAACAGCTAGTGCTCCTCTCAGGAGCCCAGCTGACTGAAGGAGATTTGGCCACATTTTCTTCTCACAAAAAAAAAAGTGGCTGTCAGACCCAAGAACCATTAGGAATCAAACCACTATGAAGGTTCGGGTGAAGGGTACAGTCCAGCTCTGCGTGTCACGGTGCCCCTGGAAGCCCCCCGGGAAGGGCAGTGTATGAGTGTACTTTACTGGCAAGCACCATCCCCGCACCCTTCACGGGCAGCTGCCTTGCGCAGTCAGGCTCTTCAGTAACCCCACACAGAAAGGCCTTTCTTCCCACTGCCTGCCCAGTCCCTCCTTGAATCAACACCCTACCTGCTTCTACCACATTCCTTGGCTATCCCCAAACCTCCAGGTTTTATCCCGAGAGGAACAGTGATCAGTTAATCCCCTTGCAGTTGCTCTGGCCAGTCACAACCTTGCAGGGTTGTCGGATCTGCTCTCAGTCACTGCAAGTGTGGGCTGAGCCCTGACCCATTGCTGCAAGGAGGCTCTTCCCAACTCCAGGCTTGCCCCAATCCCAAATTGCTCTCACACCATGGGATACAGCAGGGATATATCAGGAGATACAGGCCAGGGTGAGCAATGCTTTTAAACAGCAACATAAACACATCTCTCCTCAGTTCCTTTCCTATGGAGTTKGATGATTTATTTTGATTGTTGTTAAACAGTAAGCTGGTAAGATTGGACATGTGTGTCAGTCCTCACTCCTGCAAGTTCAGGATCAGTTCAGAGCCCACCYGTGCAAGGCCCTGGGCACAGTCTTACCCAAACACAGAACATGATGCAGGCTTTCATCTCKGCCGAGCTGGCTGCTTGTACCCAAGCTGCAAGAATGGAGGCCAGACACAAGGAAGTCATCAGGAAACAAAGTTGTTAAAAAAAAAAAAGTGCTTTTACATACACAGTGAAAATAAACCAGAACAAGAGACTCCTCTGTGAAAGAAACCAATTGTTTGCATGAGAACGTGCTATTTAGACAAATAATTGGATAGCACTCCCCCTTCTGCAGCACTGCTTTCARGAACCCAGGCAAACCACCTGCCCTGGCCTGAAAGGCACAAGCACCAGCGACACGAAAAAGCCTCAGACAGGATAAGCACCAACGCTGCAATGGAAGGACAACCTCMTTCCACCTTCGCAAATAAGCCTTCAGCCTCACAACGCTACTCTTCAGTGCTGCCAATAAGTGGTTATTATAGGACATAATGCCAGGCTAAAGCAAACTCTCAAACCTGATTTCATCAATATTTATAACACAGTAGCCACAAACAATTTTAATAAACATGTTTATTCAAACAAGTTACATGAGACCTTCCAAGAAATACATCATAACTAGGCCTCAGCGTATCAGATTTTTCCACTTAGCTTGTCTACAAGACATACTTCAAAACAGTACAGACTAATTAAATGATTACAGAGGAGAACTGCTTGGGATGCAAAGGGAGTTGAAGAGCAAGAGATACCATAAAGAGAACATCACTGGATTACAGCTCACCATGAGTTTGTCTGAAAGCATCAGGAACTTTCCTGACAGAAGGCAAGTATACAACATCACTAGTAAACATTTTGCATTAACAGCCATAGTTATTAAAAAATTGAAAAATGTTAATTTCAAATATTACTCTGCTATCTGCTCTACCTATAAGGTAAAACCATAAATGGACTAACTCTGCTTAGGAGGTGAAGAAACACTGAGTCTCTAGAATTAACTAGAGCCCAATTCAGCAAACTACATATGCATGTAGTTAAGTCCTACTGACACTAGCGGGGCTTACACATATTTAAGTGTTACAGTGAACAAGAGATTTCAGCATGCATCTAGGGTTAAGTACATGCTAAATACTTTCACTGAATTGGCAGCATATTCTTCAAAGCACGACAGTTTCATACAGTGTAAGTCACTCCCTCAGTCTTTTGCCCCATCAAAAGAAAAGCCTGTACTGGGTACAGCAGAAATKATATTGTCCCCCAAAGCAAGGCTTTTGGATGTATGAACAAGTCAGACAACAAACAGTGTCAAAAAAACAACCTTGATTATATCTTTGGTCTTCAGTCTTTCAAWAATCAGAATTCATACCATTTGCACCAGTACAAAATTCCACATACAACTGAAAAGTTCAAGATCAAGACATTCGTTTCTTTTTCAGTTCATTCTCCGAACTCTCCATAAATTCTATACAATTCTGTACAATAATGCCAGTGACTGTACAATCCTGCACAAGATACTGGAAAAAAGCTACAAGGTATATAAATAAATCTTCAGCTTCAAAAATATTTGATTTCACCTGCACTTAATATTTAAGTGCAAATAAAGAGCTCTACAACGTTATCATCTAATAGCGCTCTCTGAAAAGCCTTCCTGTAGCATTGTCTTTGTCCAGAAGTCATTCATTTTGCTGTTTAATTAAATCAGTTCTGCCACAGCAATGAAATCCAGGTATCCAGGCAAAGGTTCCACATACTTGGGAATGAAACATTCCCATCTGCTCAGAGCATATAGATTTTTTTCTTTATATAACCCACTATATGATAGTGAACACAATACTTTTGTTTCATAGAAACAACTAACATTTGCCCACACCAGGCAAATGGTCTATTTACAGATACATTAGGACTGCCTAACTGACAGTGAGTGTAAGAGGCTGAACTCCAAGAAACATGGAGCTTAAAACGGCGACACTCTCTGCTGAATCGCCTTCCCTTTTAGGATACGTCTCATCTAGAGAAAAGAGAGAGACAAGAGTTAAGCACTCATCACCCTGAAGTGCAGCCTATCTCAAGAGACATGAAATGCCCTGAGACACCAACTTGCACAGCTCTTTTAGCAAAGAGCAAGTTCTGAGTTCAGATGCACCAGAATTCATCTTTTTTCTCCCATGATTAGAATGACTTGAAGGAAATAGAATTACTCAGTTACTTATTATCTTCTTACAGCTCTTCAGGAGCCATCCTTGTGAATATATTTACACAGGAAATGGRATTTTTTCACCTGAGATTCAGATCCAAGACATACTGCTAGTTATCAGAAGGGCCAGAGCATCATCACAGACCATACTGAGACAACCTAGACATGGAAGGTCATCTCCTATACGCTGCAAGGTTACATATTAGTTTAATGATAAAAAAGGTTCTGAGGTAAAAAAAGAGCTGATAAATGATTCCTGTAGTTTCACCTCTTTGTTTTTAAAGTCAGGATTAGGCAGGATGCAAGAAAATCCTGAAAAACGGCATTTTTCCCCTATCTTCTCTAACAGCTACAACTCCAAGCCTAAAAGAACTTGGAGGGCCATAAGACTTGTTTATTGCTGGAGGGAGGCAGTGTAGGGTTTGTTCTGCAGCCTGGGGTAGGGGTGGTGGGGGAGAGTGTTGTTGCTTGCCATCGCTTTTTACCTGTTCTCCTACAAGGCCATCRGGAACCAGATGAACTGGCTGCTCATTCTCCAAGTTTCTGGCACTTGGATCAGCTCCCTTGCGCATCAGCAGGCGAACAGCATCCAGCTGACTGACGCGATACTGCAGGCTGGCAGCCACGTGCAGTGCTGTGTTGCCGTTGTAAGCCTACGGGAGACGGATACCATGAAGGAGAGGGAGGGATGGGGGTCTCAGGGCACTCACACTGCCACACATGCACAAGCCCGGATTATTTCCGCAGCCCACAGTGTCACCATACCTTTGCATTGACAAAGGAGAGACAATTGGGCAGCTCCAGGAAGAGGCGGATGAGCTCCAGGTTTGCTTCTTCTGCCGCCAGATGGAGAGCTGTGCGACCACTTTTACGATCCTATGGAGAAATGAAGCTTAGCATCTTCTGCAGGTGCTTCACCTACCCTGGGTGAAGGCACAGACCAGTAAAATAGAAGGAGCTCATAAGGAGCTCTTGTGTACAAAACATTTACTGAACATATCTGCACTTTCATTCATCTAGAGCCAATCTGACCATTCTGTTGTTCAGAATGAGTGAACAATGGACGGTCTCACTTAGCAGTATGGAACACAGCCAAAGTATAAAATAAAATGCCAAGTAAAGCCTGGTCCAGCACAGGTCTAATTGAACTGGGAAGCAGTATTTGATTAAAATGCACTGTTATAGAGCAGGCTATAATCACTATTACTGCTAATATCTCAAAGTGCTTCCAGTGATTTCCTTAAGACAGGATCAACTGCAACCAGCATACCACTACTATTAATCAAGAAATTCATCTGTCATCTCCTTCCCCTCCCAGTCCGATTCATTTGCACTGGCAATATTTCATTGTTTTGAATAAATGAAGCATTCTCATTTCACTTGGGTAAATTGAGCTATCTAGCACTTAAAGCTTTCAAATTAATCTGCTTCCTTTGTAATAAAAAGGAAGAGACATGGCGCTGGAGAAAGGGACATGGTCAGCTCTTTACACAAAGCTGTGCCTTGACTTACTTTTGCTTCAACCGAGGCTCCCATCTGTATTAGAGTCTTGATGGTTTCTACCAAGCTTTTGTTTCTCAGCAGGAGCTCCTGAACCTCTGGCGAGTGAGGTGGTTGACAGTTTTGCAGTTCATGCAGCACAGCGTTATGTGCCAGCACAGCACAATGCAATGCTGTCAGACCTAAAGATCAGAAGTAATCATCAATGACGAGTACAGAACTAATTGCCTGGCTGCCTGTTGTTAAAGGACCACTAAAGGGGTTTCCTCCCCCTGCCAAAACCAGAGATGGCTCCACATTTCTAACTAATAATGTCTGCTCTAAAATAGCTCAGAATTGTCACTCACTGGAGATGCTTAGTAATGCACGGTGAGATTCCAGCTAGTAGATAACAAAACACCCAGATATGTTAAAGTTTGTCTAAAACACACTTTAGAAAAACCCTTTACATGGAAAAGAGGTTAAATTCAAACAACTCTGTGCCAGAGATTCTGTATCCACTGGTAGATCTTTGGTGCTTCGAAATGTTCAACAGTGGTCCATTATGACCAATACTCCCCATTATAAACATAGCAATTACTAACAGAAGGGAAGAAAAGGTCCCGACAGGCAGAGACCAACCTTTTTTATCTGATAAATATGCCACTTGTAATTTAAACTGTAATTGCAGATTGGCAAGGCATACTCCATTTTATTGCTTCTCACCTAGGATAACATTCATGAGCAGCCATAAAACATTATAACATCCAGTAACTCTGTAAATTATAAACTTGGCTACTCACCATCGTAGTTTGTTGCCTCAAGGTCCACATACTGATTGCTTCCCATGGCTCCCTTTTGGATGGCCTGCAAGAGGGAGAGCAGATGGGCATTGATATGTAGGCCAACCATATATCATTTCCTCAAGTCTGTGTCAGGTCTTGATTATTTTTGTTTTAATATATTGCAGGATCCACCAAATTAACACGAAATGTTAGCAAGAATCTTAAACTCAGTACCACTTGAAGCCATCACTATGGATCCCTAGACAGTTTTCAAGGCCCCACAGAAGGAAAGATATGGGGAGGAGCTGAGTTTTCCAAGTTTTCCAAGACAACTAATACAAGTTTAACCGTTATGGGCAGGGAACAGGTACACGATCCCTCTGATCCTCACCTGAAGGACCTGGGCATGCCCCTTCTCGGCACAGACATGCAAGGGCGTCCTACCCCAACAGTCTGTGGTGTTGACTTGAGCCCCCAAGCTAACCAAGTCCTGCACAATGAGATGCTGATTGGCAGCCACAGCCACCTGGAAGGCACTCTGTAAACATGAAAAAACAAGCCATGAGTCATCTGATCTCTAACAGGAAACAGCAACTAAAACAAACAAAAATCCTAGCTGCATGGCACTATTTAAGCAGTGATTACTAATACCAGGAAGCCAGGACAAATAAAATTGAGCACAGTTTTACTAGCTCAAAGTGATCCCCCCGCAAAAGTATTAGTAGCTCAAGGATAACACTAGAACATGGGCTAAATCTCAGGGTTAGTATTAAGAAAGTATTTGACAGCACCTTCCCCAAGGTGCAAAGAGTGGGTGCCCCAGCTCACCTGGCCGTTGTGCTCTTTAACATCCAGCATGTGCAGGGCAGCCATCTTCCTGGCGAGGACGTAGGAGAGCGCCCGCCGGCCCTGGGCAACAGCGATGTGAAGGAAGCTGCACGGAGGGAGGGAGGGAAGTGGTTATTGCACAGTTATTGTACGAGCAGGGGCTCAAGGAGAGATGCAGAGGTACATTACGCAAGGGCGGTTATGCTGCCAGCTTCAGACACCTCCTTCTGGTGACTAAGATGAGAAAACAGGCACATTCTTCCCAAGGCAATTTCAAGCATCTAAATTAGAATCTTTTTTCTCTCCGTTTACTAGATAAAAATCTAACAGTAAGTGCCTGAAATTAGATGGTACAAATACCTTATCTACTAAATGTGCTGCAGCGATGTGCATCCCAGCTTGTCAGCAGGACCATGCATTTCATTTGATTACAGAAGCTAACGCACTCAAAACAAGACATGGTAACAAACAGCTTGCGATACAACCCAACGCTCCACTGGAAGTTGCACAGGAATATCCCAAGTTCCCGCTTCAGAAACGCTGAAACAAACAGTACTCACGTGTCTCCATCCGCATCTTTTGCGAGGAACTGATCTTGGGAGATACTGGCCAGCTTGTTCTCCTCCTGCTCCACTTGCCACTGAAAGAAGGACTTGCCCAGCTGCGCTGTGCTTCTGGCAGAGTTCTGGTGCGTTAGGGAGACATTCAGAGCAGTCAGAGAGATGCTGCGTTCGAGACCCCCACAGATGTTGCTGGGAACCAAGCTGAAGTTGGGAGGGTGTGTGTTGGCATCAGCCTGCAGGTGAGCACTGCTCAGGGGCTGCAGGGCCGGGGAGATGTTCTCTGAGCCTTCTGAATCATTCAGGAGAGAGGAGAAGCTTTGTGAGGCACAGAACTGCAGCTCGGGGCTCTCAAAGGTGTTCTGCTGGTAGCCTGGGGACTGCTCACTGGCAGAGAAGGGCCTGTACTCCAGGGAGGCATCCGAAGGGAAACTCTGTGACAAATCCTGGCTCTGTGATGCAGGAAACTCGTAATGCTGCGGAGGATCAAGCAGGTGCTGGGAGGGCTGCTCTTGGAATGGCTGGTACTTCTGGGATGGGGAGAAGGTCTGTGGGCCCGGGCTGTCCTGGTATTGCTCCCTGGGTGAGGAGTTGTGGCTAGAGACAGGGTGCAGCCAGCTAACCTGCACAGTGTTCAGAGAAACAGGGCTGGACTCATTCTTGATGTTTATGATGTTCTGAAGCAGATCAGAATTGCTGTCAAGCTTCGGCTCGTTTTTATGAGTCTCCTCCATGCTGTCCATAGAAGTGGGTGTCTGAGGTGGTGTCTGCCAAAAAAATGAAAAACAACCCCCCAAGAACTTAGATATTGTTTCCGGTTACACAAAGCAAGCAAAAATAAAGCCACAGTAAAATGAGCAAGTTTACCAGGAGGTGTGGATGAACAGTAGCTTGGCGTTTGTAAGAAGATCCATCAGAAAGGTGCTCAGAAGCCTTTCTTTTGCCACTGTGGCCAAGTATATTCTTGAGCTCTGCTGAAAAAAAKGAATTTGGTATCAATTTTGAGGTTACTCTTACAACCTATTTTTAAGGTATTATTGGGGGGGCATTTACAAAAGGTTTTGTACCTGTGTACTGTTCGTAATTCACCAATCCTCCTTGTGTCTATTGAAAAAATAAGAATTATTCCATTATTACAATGTTAATTCATTCATGAATAAAAAACAAAAGCAGAAGTTTACTTCTATAAATATAGAATATACCTTAGAATAATATATATTAGAATATACTTTAGAATTCTAAATACATTTTTTAAATCTTRATTAAAAGCAATTGCATTGAAGTTGGAAAGTTGGAAAAAAGGGAAGAGTTTTCTAGAACTTAAATGGAAGCCACCATTTTCTTAATGCTTTGAGACATTTCTTACAAGATCACAGAAGTAGAATAATCTGGAAACAAGATCCTGCTCCTTAGTAAAATCTAAGGATTTGATCTAAGTAAGCCTGCATTTTTCCTCCTCCTTCAGCACCTTTTCTTCAGCACTCTTCTGTATCAAAGCCACCTCCTGCCCCAAGCAAGACTTATCTAAGAAATTCATTCATTCATGAAAGACTATTCCAAAGAATCTCCCTCTTGGAACTTCCCAGCTTTTCCTCGTATCTTCTGCTCCACCACCACACTGCATAACCCCACACATCATGGAGAAATGCAACAGTATGACAAGCTCTTAAGCAGTTCTTTGAAGAAGTTCCCTGCTCTTGTAATGAATGACCTCACACGTGTCAACAGGGAGTTTTCAGTGTTTCACAATACCAACACCTCTATCTGAACTCCCTCTGGAAAAATAAAGCTGAGCAAGAACATTGCTAACTGTCTCCCCCTCCCACAGCAAACTCTTACTAATTTCTTTCTGGCTCCTTTTCCATTGTGTATTGGAAAGGAAAAATAGTAACTCCATCCACATCAGATAATATTAAAAATGAGTTTACTGTTTTATCACATGCCTTCTTCRCCAACCTGAGGAATCATTAAACCCAATTATGTCAGTGCAGAAAAATGTTCATTACCTTGCATTCATCAGTAGCAGAGCCCGAGGACATCTGTTTGCTGCTTCTGAAGTGCAGCAGCAGCTCYTTCACTGAGTTCTTCACACGGACCCCCTGGAAAGGTCCTCTGTGCTGCTTTCCTCCCCCCATGTGCTGATCAACTGCTGAGACATGAAACAAAGTAGACACTTAAGCCATCAATACATTTTCCATTAGAAGAAGTCATAAAAAGCTTGCAGAAAAGAAACCTAGAGCCTTGCTTTCAACTGAGAGGAGAGAATCCCCTCGAAACAAGACAACAACCCAAAGAAATCCCTCGCCCATTTCGGAAGTGTGCAACTTCCTCCCATTTAGTCAGTCTGGGATCTCCCCTGCCTGGCTCTTGTGGGTGAAGGGCTGGAAATATCCAACCAGCTCGGCATTCACATTGATGCTTGAAGAACACCACATGGGTGAGCTGCTTTTGCCTAACACTGAAATAATACTGCAAATTACTCTTGGTTTTAATGTCCATGCTGGATGGTCCTGTCCGTTCAGGCCCTGCTCGTTTCAAAGCTCRAGCCCAACACTCCCCCAAGTGACCTCTGCTGTTTCATAACTTCTCTGAGATCAGGTCCGTTTTGAGGCTTTAAAAAACAGAAGCGAAAGACCGGAAGCCATGACTTCATGCACACAACTTGAGCCAAGTAAGATGACTCAAGAAGGAAAGTACAAGGTTTAGCAGATAAATATTAGATGCACAACCACACACAACATCGGCGTTACGCATGTATAGATACACACACACACTCAAATCTGAAAAGAGAAGGAAAACAGAAAAAAATCAGAAAATTTCAAAATGTGACAGGTCAGAGACCAAGTTCCAAATTACAGAGGGTTTTGATTTAAAAATAATAAAAAATAATGAAAAAGGAAGCAAACAACCTTTCCAGGGGACTCCTTGCACCTCACCACAGCCAGAGCCTCATTAGGGGGGCCACGATGCAAAGAGGATTTGGATGCAGAAACAGAGATCACCCCTTTCACAGAAAGCCTCTTGGGGACCTCATTTTAAGAAACTAGTTGTTTTCGGCGAAGAAAAGCCTCACAGTGGGGGGGGGGGGGGGGGGGGGGGGGCCTTACAGTAACGCAAGTCACCGAGGGACGAGGGGACGGAGAAGCCCCTCGGGATGCGGAGAGGGTCATGTCAGAAGCCAAAGCAACGGTCGCGCCAACGGCCGCCGCCCGCCGCGCGGGCTGGGGTCACGCCGTACCTTGGATGGCGGCGCGGGCGGCGCCCCGGGCGTCCCTGCGGCCGCCGCGGCTGCTCACCGAGAGGTCCGAGTCGGAGCCCGGCGAGCCCGGCGCCGAGTGCGCGGGCGAGCAGCTGCCCTCGCTCGAGTGCGGCGAGGCGCCGTAGAAGTAGGCGAGGTTGATGGGGCTGCTGAGGGCGCCGCCGTCGCCGCCGTCGGGCGCCGCGTCCCGGCTGCTGTCCACGATCATGGCGCCGCGGGGCGGCGGGCG